AGGGTGAATATGGTGAAGCATGAGATGCCTGTTGGCTTTTGGCAGGCATGTAAAATTCTTGATTTAGAGACACGTTAGTGTTTGTTTGTTTGTTTCTTTTTTTTTTTTCTTTTAACATGGGAGAATTTTAGAGGATGAGTGATTTTTTTTTAAGTCAGTGGTGAAAATTCAATTTTCAACTAACTAAATTTAAACATTAATGTTTAAAAGTAAATTATTAAATTTAAAGGTCAAATTCAGGGACACATTAGTGTTTTTTTTTTTTTTAAATAAATTATAAAGGATGGGCTCGAAACCGCTCATAAGAAAAGAAAAAATGCATCTCAAACTGATTAGGTGTCAGTTGACTCAAAAGATCAAATGCGAATACATTAGTGTTTAGTGGCTGCAATGGAGTAACTTTTTATTTTTGTATCATTACCACATAAATAGTTTTAATTAGTCAATTAATTAAGTTCAAGTTAATTTTTATCAATTTTTATATAAATAAAAAGATTTCTATAATATCAAAAATAAAGAAAAAAATAACTTATAATATATTTGGGTTTAAAGAAATGTAGATGTAATACCTCCAATCTAACATCAGAGGACTTATGAATAAATTTAGTATATAATTATAGAAACCAATCACTATTAATAAAAGTTCTCATTTTTTAAGACATGAATTTTTGTTCAAAGAGTTGTTAATCCACTGATAAATTTCGACTCCGGTTGTTTCAAGAGGGTAGAATATTCTTAGGTATAAAATCAATTAACTTAAATGTATATAATCAATTACAATATGAATATAACATTTTAAAATAAATACTGATATTCTATATTCTAACATTGGGAAAGAAAGGCTGACTTCTAGATGTGAAGGCTGGATATTTCAGGCATTATCTTCTGCCAATGGGAAAGGCCCAGATTGTCACTCCTATTTTGCTCAAGTAATGTCTAATCTTACCTCTTTGTAACTCTTGAGTTTGTGTTTGTTTAAGCTTGTTATTATAGAGCTACATAAGTGTTTTAAGGGATAAAATTGGTATATGATGCAACAGCCATTGGAGGGAATAAGATAGATTTGATGGAGAAGTCTGATTTATAGTTAAAATGAGCAATTCCTGTAGTCTGGATTGATCTCGGATATAGGTAATTTTCAATGATTTTGCATACAAGAGTATGAGTATTGGGATAGAGTGCATTTCCAGGAGTAGGATAAGCTTCTAACAACTGTACGTCTTCCTGCTCGATGTTCGTTTCTTTCTAAGATTGAAGAGATTTTCCTTTTTAATGAAACTACTGTTTGATAACCATATTGTTATCTTACTGAGAAAAAAGCTTGGATCTAAAATTTGGATGAAAATTGATGTTCTTACGAGGGAAATGAAAATGGAGGAGGAAAGGATTGAGGCGGGGAAGAAACGGGTTAGTCAATGATCTTTTTCTTTTGCTGTTGTT